TATTGACCACCACACATCTACATGTATTACACATTGACCACCTCACATCAACATGCATTACACATTGACCACCTCACATCTACATGTATTACACATCATCTACCTCACATCTACATGCATTACATATTGACCACCTCACATCTACATGCATTGCATCTTGACCACCTCACATCTACATGTATTACACATCATCTACCTCACATCTACATGCATTACATATTGACCACCACACATCTACATGTATTACACATTGACCACCTCACATGAACATGCATTACACATTGACCACCTCACATCAACATGCATCACACATTGACCACCTCATATCTACATGCATTACACATTGACCACCTCACATCTACATGTATTACACATTGACCACCTCACATCTACATGTATTACACATTGACCACCTCACATCTACATGCATTGCATCTTGACAACCTCACATCTACATGCATTACACACTGTCAATATCACATCTACATGCATTACATATTGACCACCTCACATCTACATGCATTATACACTGTCCACATCACATCTACATGCATTACATATTGACCACCACACATCTACATGTATTACACATTGACCACCTCACATCTACATGCATTACACATTGACCACCTCACATCTACATGCATTACACATTGACCACCTCACATCTACATGCATTACACACTGACCACCTCACACATACTTGCATTACACATTGACCACCTCACATCTACATGCATTACACATTGACCACCTCACACATACTTGCATTACACATTGACCACCTCACATCTACATGCATTACACATTGACCACCTCACATCTACATGCATTACATATTGACCACCTCACATCAACATGCGTTACATATTGACCACCTCACATCAACATGCATTTCACATTGACCACCTCACATCTACATGCATCACACATCATCTATCTCACATCTACATGCATTACATATTGACCACCTCACATCTACATGCATTACACATTGACCACCTCACATCTACATGCATCACACATCATCTACCTCACATCTACATGCATTACATATTGACCACATCACATCTACATGCATAACGCATCATCTACCTCACATCAACATGCATTACACATTGACCACCTCACATCTACATGCATTGCATCTTGACCACCTCACATCTACATGCATTACACACTGTAAATATCACATCTACATGCAATACATATTGACCACCTCACATCTACATGCATTACACACTGTCCATATCACATCTACATGCATTACATATTGACCACCACACATCTACATGTATTACACATTGACCACCTCACATCAACATGCATTACACATTGACCACCTCACATCTACATGTATTACACATCATCTACCTCACATCTACATGCATTACATATTGACCACCTCACATCTACATGCATTGCATCTTGACCACCTCACATCTACATGCATTACACACTGTCAATATCACATCTACATGCATTACATATTGACCACCACACATCAACATGCAGTACACATTGACCACCTCACATCTACATGCATTACATATTGTTCACATCACATCACATCACAGTATAATTGTACGTTGTTTAAGAACACCTAAAATAATAAATCAGCAGGAAACAGATATTGTTATTAATTATAGATATCTTCAATTATTGACATACCTACTGATGTATATGTCAAAGTATGGGTGTTGAAAATTCTATCCCCCCGGAGCAAGCTGGATTTTGACAAGGCTTTCAGACTGTAGATAACGTGTTTGCGATCGACACTTTTAATCACAAGTATCTATCTATGTTTGCAGGAAGGAAGACTGTACTGTGCATTCATTGACGTGAAAACTGCCTTTGATTCTGTCACTAGGAAGTCACTACTTTATAAGGTGTCAGTTGGTAATGTGAAAGGCAAAATGTTTCGATTAATTCGTAATATGTATGAAAATGTTAACTCTTGTGTCCTGGTAGACAAAAGCTGTACACTATTCTTCGATTGTCCTATCGGCGTCCGTCAACCTTTTCCATTTTTGTCTTCATTCTATTTTAATGATATTGTCAAGTTTCTAAATGTTGATAACCAAAGATGTATTGATGTAGATATATTAGATTTGTGTATTCTCTGTTTGCGGATGATATCCAAATAGCACTGCCATTGGTCTCCAGAAGAGGTTAAGTAAAGTGGCTGCTTATTGTGATAAGTGGCAGCTACAGTTTAATACGGTTAAGAGTAAAGTTGTACTGTTTCAAAGGTCCTTGGGGTGCTCATCTCGCTAACTCAGAAAGTTTTTATTACAGTAGACATGGAAAGTTGTGTTCATATTAAAATCAAGTATCTTTAATTTTCTCTGAAGATTTTCTCTGAACGTTAATCAGAATGCGAAATTAATAAATATTGATTACGACTGTTGTCTCAAAATAATAAGACTATTATAAAATATACTTATTTATATCCGTATCGCCTTGCTGAGAAAGGTTTGGATTCCTTGGCATATAAAGTTAAAAGTTTATTATTTAGTTATGGTTTTGGTGATGTTTGGAATAGTCACTGTGTCCTATATGATAAGGACTGTAAATTAGTGAGTGAGTGAGTGAGTGAGTGAGTGAGTTGGGTTTAACGCCGCTTTTAACAGTATTCCAGTTATATCACGGCGTGTCAGCTTAATGTGGGAGGAAAGCCCGAAGTGATGCAGGTCTCAGACGTTTACCCCTTCGGTGAACCAACAAGCAAGGGTATGGTGCTGACAAACCTAGAAACATAATCGGGGCGAACCGGAATTCGAGCCCACAATCATAGGGTTCTGGCGTGCCCAAGGGACGCAACTCTGCAGTGCGAATCGCGGCGCCTTAGACGACTGGGCCACCCGTGCCCCCGACTGTAAATTAAGATGTATAGATATAGGCAATCAGTTGTATCAAGAGTCTCTTGGCGTGCACGACGTCCACGTGTTATCCCACAACTTACTGTACGTTATTTGAATCAGAGGCGTCAGTGGTGGAGATAATCAACGTTAGGCTGGTTTTCGGCAAATCTGGTTAAATATAGTGAACAACAAAAGTTCCTGTGACATTGAACAAGATTTAAAATGCAAAGTTATGTTTTTTACCAAATCTGAAACAATTTCGGTTTGCAACAGATAAAAGACTCCTGTAAGTGTTCAAATGGTTTAATTTGCCATACTCACTTCAGAAAATGCGTGATTTCATTAAAAAACAACAACATGAACATGCCAAAATGTCAATTTAGAAATCAATAGCGTGTGAGTCCACCTCTGGTTGCGATGCAAGTAACACATCTTCGTCTCATGGAATGGACCAGGCGTCGCACAACGTCCTGTGGGATATCTGTTCATATCTGCTGGGGCATGTTTCGAAGTTCCTGGAGTGTCTGTGGAACAAGTGGTTGACGTCGAAGGTGCCGATCCATCTCATCCCACATGTGCTCGATTGGTGAGAAATCAGGGGAGCGAGCCGGCCAGGGGATGACATTCATGTTGTTTTGTTGAAGGGGATCCTGAACAAGTCGAGCAATATGAGGCCGGGCGTTGTCATGTTGAAAGGTAATGCCTGGGCCATGACGACGCAAAAACGGTAGAACAACGGGGCCGATAATCTCGTGGCGGTAGCGCTGTCCATTGAGATTTCCCTCTACCACTATCAAACGGGTCCTTTGTCTTGCTGTAATCCCACCCCATACAATAACGCTGCCGCCCCCGAACCGATCTTCTTCCATGACACAATGATTGACGTAACGTTCACTTGGACGTCGGTACACTCGAATCCCTCCATCGCTGTGGCTGAAGTGAAAATGAGACTGGTCAATGAATAGAACTTGTCCCCACTTCATGGCCGTCCAGCGTAGACACTGTCTGCACCACTGTAGACGTGCTTGACGGTGGTTTCCTGTCAAAATGTGACGTCTGACGGGTCTTCTGGCGACAATCCCTGCACATCTGAGGCGACGACGTACGGTTTGTGAAGATATTCGTCGAAGGCAAGGGATGCTTCTTGCAGTCACTGTTGCTGGCTGGAATCGATTCCATACATGTACTACAATATTAAAACCAAACTTTACTTTGAAAAATACACTAAAATATTGGTGTCACAGGAACTTTTGCTGTTGAGTATATTTATTTACGGTTACTATATTTTGAAATGCTTTATTTAGCAAACCGTTGCACTATGACCAAATCATGTCCAGTTGCCTCTTGCCAAATCACTGAAACCAGATACTTTTACATCACTCACTCGCTCACTTACACACAGTTATATATATACTTTTAATCAATAGATACAATTGAAATGGCTTTACAAATTAACCTATATTAATTTGCCAGAATGAATATTCACTATTCTCCAAAGACGCACATGTTTTGGACGACACGATGGATGTAAATTTCTATGTTCAAACACAGGAATACGTATTTGTGTACAACTGCGTATTCACGTGGTTCAAGCAAACAGTAGATTATCAAACGTTTCATGAGTTTTTACGACGTTTGGTAAACAAAATATCCTCGTGTACGGTGCCCGTAAGAAGTACTTCTGACCACTCGTCTAATAACAATCCCAAAACACTGAAATTAAGTTCATCTTTGAGAACATTCATGTTTGTTTACACTTAGATGGTCAAATGACTACTATATCTTATCATTCTAATTTGATAGGTTCCCTGGTAAGGGTATAAGGTATAAACAGAAGAGGGCAGTAAACAGTTAGTGTAACACGAAATATGATGATCTCTCTTTTAGTATCAACGACGTTCTTTTATATCGCAGATTCTCTCTCAGCCTTTCTTTTCAAACTTACAAACTGGCTTTACTTCGAAAATCTTCCTTGAAAGCTGTGACTCCCTATTACGGAGTTCGACGACACAACTAGATTATCTGCTACAGGCCAAGCAAGGGAGAACACTCCTCTTGGTACAACTTAGTAAGGTGAAGGACCTTGAATTGTTAAACATTCTTGCTTCCCCTATAACCTAGATATACATATTGCAGTTAGTTCAACAACAACAACTAGTTACAACACAGTCAACAACTGCTACCATTAACATCAATGGTGTTCTGCTTGCCGTGACGATACTTGGAGGTGATTATTTATTAATTTAGGTACACTGTCCTCTGCCTACTAGAGAATACACGCGGTCTTCTTAATAGTAGCTGAATTATAAAAATATAGAATATACCTTATATGTCATTGTTAAGGCAATCCTTTATTATGTTTTGTTGTACAATTTGGACATTGAGTATTTCACCTGTCGGATTTTATGAAGCACGATCAGCTTGACAATGAACAGACAATTTAAGAGGCTGTTCCTTTTTCACTAAAGTACAGAACTATATCTACGCTCAAGTTCTTAACTATATCTACACTCTAGTACAGGAATATATCTACACTCTAGTACAAAACTAAACTGACGTCCAAAAGAAACTTTACCCGAGTTTGAAATCACTCTTGCTCAAAAACAACAAAACATACATGCATGAAGTAAAGTGTATTGAGAAGATCAATATATCAACATAATCAACACTGAAAATGACAATCATACCGCGACCGAGAATGACGTCAGAGCCCCCCAAAGTTGGGTGTGGTACAAAACTCGAGCTTTCAGAATCATGGACAATAGGCAGAGTACATAAACAATCGCTCACGTTCAATAACAAGTCATTAATAGCGTGTGTGACCAACAAATGCCTCAATACACGCAAAAACTCTTCGACGCACAGAAAAGGTCAGTCGTCTGATGAGGTCACGTGGGATTTGACGCCATTCTTCTTGGAGGGCCAAGATCAGTTCTTGCCGGTTGGCTGGAAAGTGTGGTCGTTGTCGAACACGACGATCCATCAAGTCCCAGAGGTGTTCCACTCAGGTGGGGGACATGTCGGGTGAGTGTGCAGGCCACGGCAGGACGTTGACGTTGTTGGCTGCGAGGAAGTTAGTGACAAATCTGGCTGTATGGGCTTTAGCGTTGTCATGCTGATAAATGACACCATTTGGCTGTTGTTGGAGAAATGGTAGGACAACTGGACGAAGAATGTTATCCATGTAACGCTGAGATGTCAAGTTTCACTCAACGATGACCAGCGGTGTCCTCTCCTGCCCACAGATCCCTCCCTACACCATGACACTCCCTCCACCATATGGTACGACTTCCTGCACGCAACATGCCGCCGTTCGTTCACCCCTCCGACGGTAAACACGTTGTCTTCCATCAGCCCTAAACATACAGAATCGACTTTCGTCAGTGAAGACAACCCTCTGCCAGTCACGTCGTTGCCAACGTCGTACAGTCCGGGCGCATCTCAATCGCAGACGACGATGTTGCGCTGTCAATAGCTGTCCTCTGTATGGTCTAAAAGTCCTGATTCCATGAGCCCTGAGTCTCCTGGCCACTGTCTGTCGACTAACCCTGTGACCTAAGGCATTTGTCGCCGATGACGTCACTGTCGGGAAGCGATTTCGGAGGTGCAAGGTACGCAAGTACCGGTCATCATGGGGCGTGGTCACCCTGGGTCTGCCTGTTCTTGACCTGTTAGCGGTCCGCCCTGTCTGTCTGTAACGTTGCATCAAGTTGGTAACGGCAACACGGGAGCAACCGAAGGTTCGTGCAATATGGGCGTGGCTGGCTCCCATCTGTACCATACCCAAGGCTCGTTCACGTTGTTCGACTGTGAGTCGTGGCATTCCTTTTGTGCTTTTTTTATCACTGTGGATGTCTGACTTGCCGTTGTAATCGTTTTATACCCTTACCCGCACGTGCATTTGCAGTTGTCCGTGGTGCACGTGTTTTTTCACTTTTTCGCGTGTACTCGCAAACATGTAACAGACGATTAACATTTTCTGCATACACTATTGTTGTATTTAGGTTATGTGTTTTAGATAGACTTCATCGAAAAAAATTTTATACTTTGTCTGAAATTTATATTTTCAGTTGTTAAAGTTTCTTTTGGACGTCAGTTTATATCTACTATATTTACACTCTAGTACAGAACTATATCTACACTCAAGTACATAACTATATCTCCACTCTAGCACAGGACTATATCTACACTCTAGTACGGAACTCTATCTACACTCAGTACAGAGCTATATCTACACTATAGTACAGATCTCTAACTACACTCAAGTACAGAACTCTATCTACACTCTAGTACAGAACTCTATCTACACTCAGTACAGAACTATATCTACACTCTAGTACAGGCCTCTATCTACACTCTAGTACAGAACTATATCTACACTCAGTACAGAGCTCTATCTACACTCAAGAACACGACTATATCTACACTCTAGTACAGAACTCTATCTACACTCTAGTACAGAACTATATCTACTCTCAGGAAAGAACTATATCTACACTCAAGTACAGAACTATATCTACACTCTAGTACAGATCTCTATCTAAACTCAAGTACAGAACTCTATCTACACTCAAGTACAGAACTATATGTACACTCAAGTACAGAACTATATCTACGCTTCAGTACAGAACTATATCTACACTCAAGTACAGAACTATATCTTCACTCTAGTACGGGACTCTATCTACACTCTAGTACAGAACTCTATCTACACTCTAGTACAGAACTCTATCTACGCTCTAGTACAGGACTATATCTACACTCAAGTACAGAACTATATCTACACTCTAGTACAGGACAATATCTACACTCTAGTACATATCTCTATCTACACTCAAGTACAGAACTATATCTACACTCTAGTACAGGACTATATCTACACTCTAGTACAGGACTCTATCTACACTCTAGTACAGAACTATATCTACACTCAGGACAGAACTATATCTACACTCTAGTACATAACTATATCTAGCTCAGGACAGAACTATATCTTCACTCAAGTACAGGACTCTATTTACACTCAAGTACAGATCTCTATCTACACTCAAGTACAGAACTATATGTACACTCTAGTACAGAACTATTTCTACACTCAGGACAGAACTATATCTACACTCAAGTACAGAACTCTATCTACAACCTAGTACAAAACTATATCTACACTCTAGTACAGAACTCTATCTACACTCTAGTACAGAACTCTATCCACACTCAAGTACAGAACTCTATCTACACTCTAGTACAGAACTATATGTACACTCAAGTACAGAACTATATCTACGCTTCAGTACAGAACTCTATCTACACTCAAGTGCAGAACTCTATCTACACTCTAGTACAGGACCATATATAAACTCTAGTACAGACCTATATCTACACTCTAGTACAGAACTATATCTACACTCTAGTACATATCTCTATCTACACTCAAGTACAGGACTATATCTACACATTAGTACAGGACTATAATTACACTCTAGTACAGGACTCTATCTACACTCTAGTACAGAACTCTATCTACACTTAGGACAGAACTATATCAACACTCAAGTACAGAACCCTATCTACAACCTAGTACAAAACTATATCTACACTCTAGTACAGAACTCTATCTACACTCTAGTACAGAACTATATCCACACTCAAGTACAGAACTCTATCTACACTCTAGTACAGAACTATATCTACATTTAAGTACAGAACTCTATCTACACTCTAGTACAGAACTCTATCCACACTCAAGTACAGAACTCTATCTACACTCCAGTACAGAACTATATCTACATTCAAGTACAGAACTATATCTACACTTTAGTACAGGACTATATCTACACTCTAGTAAAGAACTATATCTACACTCTAGTACAGGACTCTTTCTACACTCTAGTACAGAACTATATCTACACTCTAGTACATATCTCTATCTACACTCAAGTACAGGACTATATCTACACATTAGTACAGGACTATAATTACACTCTAGTACAGGACTCTATCTACACTCTAGTACAGAACTATATCTACACTCAGGACAGAACTATATCTACACTCTAGTACATAACTATATCTACACTCAGGACAGAACTATATCTACACTCAAGTACAGGACTCTATTTACACTCAAGTACAGATCTCTATCTACTCTCAAGTACAGAACTATATGTACACTCTAGTACAGAACTATTTCTACACTCAGGACAGAACTATATCTACACTCAAGTACAGAACTCTATCTACAACCTAGTACAAAACTATATCTACACTCTAGTACAGAACTCTATCTACACTCTAGTACAGAACTCTATCCACACTCAAGTACAGAACTCTATCTACACTCTAGTACAGAACTATATCTACATTCAAGTACAGAACTATATCTACACTTTAGTACAGGACTATATCTACACTCTAGTAAAGAACTATATCTACACTCTAGTACAGGACTCTTTCTACGCTCTAGTACAGAACTATATCTACACTCTAGGACATACCTCTATCTACACTCAAGTACAGGACTATATCTACACATTAGTACAGGACTATAATTACACTCTAGTACAGGACTCTATCTACACTCTAGTACAGAACTATATCTACACTCAGGACAGAACTATATCTACACTCTAGTACATAACTATATCTACACTCAGGACAGAACTATATCTACACTCAAGTACAGGACTCTATTTACACTCAAGTACAGATCTCTATCTACTCTCAAGTACAGAACTATATGTACAATCTAGTACAGAACTATTTCTACACTCAGGACAGAACTATATCTACACTCAAGTACAGAACTCTATCTACAACCTAGTACAAAACTATATCTACACTCTAGTACAGAACTCTATCTACACTCTAGTACAGAACTCTATCCACACTCAAGTACAGAACTCTATCTACACTCTAGTACAGAACTATATCTACATTCAAGTACAGAACTATATCTACACTTTAGTAAAGAACTATATCTACACTCTAGAACAGGACTCTTTCTAAACTCTAGTACAGAACTCTATCTACACTCAAGTACAGAACTATATCTACACTCTAGTACATATCTCTATCTACACTCAAGTACAGGACTATATCTACACATTAGTACAGGACTATAATTACACTCTAGTACAGGACTCTATCTACACTCTAGTACAGAACTATATCTACACTTAGGACAGAACTATATCAACACTCAAGTACAGAACCCTATCTACAACCTAGTACAAAACTATATCTACACTCTAGTACAGAACTCTATCTACACTCTAGTACAGAACTATATCCACACTCAAGTACAGAACTCTATCTACACTCTAGTACAGAACTATATCTACATTTAAGTACAGAACTCTATCTACACTCTAGTACAGATCTCTATCCACACTCAAGTACAGAACTCTATCTACACTCCAGTACAGAACTATATCTACATTCAAGTACAGAACTATATCTACACTTTAGTACAGGACTATATCGACACTCTAGTAAAGAACTATATCTACACTCTAGTACAGGACTCTTTCTACACTCTAGTACAGAACTCTATCTACACTCAAGTACAGAACTATATCTACACTCTTGTACATATCTCTATCTACACTCAAGTACAGGACTATATCTACACATTAGTACAGGACTATAATTACACTCTAGTACAGGACTCTATCTACACTCTAGTACAGAACTATATCTACACTCAGGACAGAACTATATCTACACTCTAGTACATAACTATATCTACACTCAGGACAGAACTATATCTACACTCAAGTACAGGACTCTATTTACACTCAAGTACAGATCTCTATCTACTCTCAAGTACAGAACTATATGTACACTCTAGTACAGAACTATATCTACACTCAGGACAGAACTATATCTACACTCAAGTACAGGACTCTATTTACACTCAAGTACAGATCTCTATCTACTCTCAAGTACAGAACTATATGTACACTCTAGTACAGAACTATATCTACACTCAGGACAGAACTATATCTACACTCAAGTACAGTACTCTATCTACAACCTAGTACAAAACTATATCCACACTCAAGTACAGAACTCTATCTACACTCTAGTACAGAACTATATCTACATTCAAGTACAGAACTATATCTACACTCTAGTACAGATCTCTATCTACACTCAAGTACAGAACTCTATCTACACTCTAGTACAGAACAATATCTACAAGCCAATTGTTGTTATGTGTTTCTGGCAGGTTATGGCACAGTATTCACCAAGTTAATCTGTGGAGTGGTATAAATTTGTATATTCAGGGAACTTATATTGTCGTTTGTTATATAGGATGCTGGCCGGACGGAGAGTTCGAGTGGAGCATGCTCGTCCTTATTTTAGTAGGTCCACGACGTCGACACTCCCATTCCATCTCATAGCATCACGGTTAAGACGTAAGTCAAAATCAAGGCCAAGACAAAAATCAAGGTCGCCTCGGAACTCGCAAACACGAGGACACAGTACATTGAGGTAATGCTAAATGTCTCTTTCTGTCGGCTTTGCCTTCATAGTATTGAAACCCATTGTAACATCAGTTAAGTATATCAACTGGTCTCAGCTTAATACTAATTGAACGTAAATGATACAAAGAAAATTATAAGAAAATACATATTCCAAAAGTCTTATTTGTTCAAGGTCACCATGTAAATGCAAGTGTGAAAGATTCCGGTGTTCTAGTTCTTCCTCAACTTCAAGGACACCGCCTCGCACCGAGACACAACACAGTTCTAGGTAGTATGGATAAAACATTTGCTTGTTCCATTACTTAGTTCCCTCTTGAATCCTACGGTATTTTCTAATTGATTGTCACTCCTGAAGCATATAGACGTCAATATCCGTGCAGCATTTTCTTCTGTGTTCAAATCCCATTGCGAGAAAGCTTTTGAGTCAAGACAAGGGGATTAATTCCCCTTTCGGGGCGGTCGGGTAGCCTAGTGGTTAAAGCGTTCCCTCGTCACGCCGAAGACCCGGGTTCGATTCCCGACATGGGTACAATGTGTGAAGCCCATTTCTTGTGTCCCCCGCCGTGATATTGCTGGAATATTGCTAAAAGCGGCGTAAAACCATACTCACTCACTCACGAATTCCCCTTTCATAGACACGAAAGGCGAACCGAGAGCTGCGTCACATTCTACATATATATTCATTTCAGGCAAAATTCCCCCGAGAAAAGAAGAAAACGTTACAAGCACCAGTGTGGTCGAAAGAAACGACATCAATCAAGATCACGTTCAAGTTCAAGTTCCAGCCCCAGCTCTCGTTCCCGCTCTCGTTCCCGCATTCATTCCACCTCTAGTTCTAGTTCCAGGAGCAGCTCAAGATCTCGGTCCACATCCCGGCACAGGTCGAAGCGTTCAGACACTGATGTTTCTGTAAAATACTTTAAATGCAGGGGTAGACGACGGCACAAAAGCCCTGTAAGTCCTGTCACTGCCATTGCGGATAAGTACACAGGGATCGAGAGCTGGACAACAGATGAAGATTTACCAAACCTTGAACTTTTTGAAGCACCACTTGGAACAAAGGACAGTGCTGCTTCAGACATTACAAACACTGAAAACAAAATGTCACGGCATGGACCTGAGCCAGTACCATCAGCCGTGATGAGTTCTACATCAACCGACATAAAAAACTGCATGACCAGGGCTGACAGCTCCTTACAGAGACAAATCGTAACTGAAACGACCTACCAATGCCATATTCAGAGAGCCACGCAAAACATATTGGATAAACAAAATGAACAATTGTTAAACGGTTCGAGTCAAAACGACACGGTGCTTCGTGTCCCTGTACTAAATACGAATTCAAGCTCAGCTACCCCGACAAACATCAGCATGGAAACATCAACACCTTACGTAAAGTCAGCGTCAGCTGCCAAATCACCCAAACACACAAACGTGGAAGGTCCCTCCTTTCATCTCTACAGAGGGGGGGTACCCTAGAAAGGCTGATGGAGACAGTACTTGCTTCAAAGTTGGAGATACTGTTCCAAGTGCTGCACATTAGAGCAAGAAGAGAGACGGTGACACACATTAACACCTGCACAAGAAATGTGCATTGGACTATTCTGCGTGTGATAAGCAGTGACAATTGTCCAAGTACTCTGTATTTGACCATTCTGCTTGTGAGAGACATTTGGAACACCACAGTAATGTGTATTAGGACATTCCGCGTGTGGGTGACAATGAGAACACCATAGTAATGTATATTTGAACATTCCGAGTATGACAGACAGTGAGATCACCACAGTGGTTTGTATTAAAACATTCCGCGTATGAGTGACAATGAGAACACCTCAGTGGTTTGTATTAGAACATTCCGCGTATGAGTGACAATGAGAACACCACAGTGGTTTGTATTAGAACATTCCGCTTGTGAGAGACAATGAGAACACCACAGTGGTTTGTATTAGAACATTTCGCGTATGAGAGACAATGAGAACACCTCAGTGGTTTGTATTAGAACATTCCGCGTGTGAGAGACAATGAGAACACTACAGTGGTTTGTATTAGACACACGCTGCATGTTAATGTTTGTATTAAACTGAATTGAACTAAAGTACTGGTACTGTCTACACGATCTGCTTCCACATGCCACGCTCCATCATATCTTTAGTTCTCTTGGATAGTTTATACATTCTGTGGTGCTTTGGGGTAATTAAACTGCTGGGTATATCCCTTTTATGAAGGGTGTAGTCTGCATTGTCTTGTACATCCAAACAATGAAAATTAAATATGTTCATTGCAAACGATTTTATGCCTTAAATGTACGTCTTCCGTGAAGGCAGCAAACATAAGTCGCTCACCTTCGTTACATTCTAATAACTATGTAGTTACAGTTTTATGATATACTCTCCAAAAGAAATATACATATAATGATTCGTCGTCAGAAGACAGATCAGCTTTGAGAAATGACAGCAAGATATAGAAAGGTTTCAGAACCAAATCCTATCCCATGCACATCCGAAACATTTCATATGGACCACGCAATTCCTCCGTGCCCCTGGCTCATTCTTATCTTTGACACTTCAGTAAAAGGTCGTCAAATCGAGTCATTAGTATTATTGATTTTCATTATCCACAGAAACACGTAATCGCCCTACTCTTGTAGTCTGTGATCAGACTGGGAATGCATCGTCTACAACAAACGTTATTGGCATGCTTCAAACTGGTAGAACTCATGGAGAGGAAGCCAAGATGTTCAATGTGTCTCTGTCTGTGATTTGCAGACTTTGAAACATGTTTCTGCGGACACAAAATGTTAATGATCGCCCTGCAGAGAGCGCCAATCACACCCATGTTCACATTTCGGGGATATCAATTATCGAATTCGCTTTATAAAAATCCCCACTGTAATGCCCCCCAGCCTACCATTGGAAGCATCAATCTGTAAGCTAGTGTCGTAACTGTGTTTGGGGGTTAACTACTACAGTTACCTAATATATTGTCGTTCTTGCGCCGTCATGGTCAAGGAAAGGCATGAATCTATGACTCGCCTGGTCAGCCAAGGTTCATTTAAGTCACGGTGGTTTGAAGATATGCCAAAAAGGGAACAGATAGCGGAAACGCATCTTGCTTCGCGGAAAAAAAAGTATTGCATGGCACGGGCTGTCCGAATACTTGCGGAGCGAGGAGATCGGACTTGCTTGAGTTAACGTCACTTTATGCTTGAGATGTCGTCGCGATAGGACGTACATCTCTAAATTGGGTTTGATAGTTCGGCTCGATGGAACGCATGTTCGTCAATTTGGTTTGAGATGTCGTCGCGATAGGACGTACATCTGTCACTTTCATAGTTCGGCTCGATGGGACGCATGTTCGTCACTTTGGTTTGAGATGTCGTCGCGATAGGACGTATATCTGTCACTTTGGTTAATATACTCTTCAAAAAAAGAAACTTGACACTGACTTTCAAAATGTAATATAATGCGATTGTTTCAATATATAGGACACAGAAACCATAATTGAAACACTGTTTGAAGATCAATGTACACAATGTTCAAAACATTAATCGTGTCACCTAGACAGACACACGTACACGATACAGTTAATGTCACAGGGGTACAGAAAATGCCAGTATCGGTTGTGCCCACCACGTGCATCAATCACCGCTTGACACCGACGACCCATAGATGCAATCAAGTTGTCAATAACACGCTGTTGGATGTGCTGCCATTCATGCTGAAGTGCATCAAGAAGCGCCGGAAGTGTTTGGGGCGGTGGATTCCTTCTGCGAACGCGTGGATCGAACTCGTCCCATAGATGCTCAATCAGGGACAAATCTGGTGACCGGGCTGGCCAAGGTAATGTCTGGATGTTGTTGTGGTGTAAGAAGTCCAGACAAACACGTGCAATATGCGGTCGAGCGTTGTCCTGCTTGAACTGTCCGCCGTGAACGTTGACGTGAGGAAGAACGTAAGGCTGTAGGATCAAGTCTCTGTAACGCACATCTGTCAATGCACCTGCCACTTGCACGAGAGGCCTGCATGCCTAAATGCAGGATCCTGTGCTGCACGTTTTTTAAAGGCGGTTGCGTTGGGATGAAGCTGTAAATTGATCCCCAAACGCTACGTTTATGTGCTTTGCATGTGTTTTCGCGAATTATAGACAAATCTTCTTTCTGTTTGACTTATTTGGTTCTCATTTAATGTAATTATTTTAGGTATTTGGCAAAAAGGGGTTTTACATCTATGCCAAGTTTCTTTTTTTTGGAAGAGTATAGTTAATATTCCACTGCGCAACACACGGAGTGATTGGTCTATCGGCCCTTACTCCGACATTTATTCATAAGCATTCATGTGCCGGCCCATATACCCATTGAATTAACACAACACCAGGTTTATACTCGCATACTTTTATTGATGCTCCAGTCCATCCTCAGAATACAACTTCTAAACAAGACAGTGGGAAAACTGGAAAACCTGCGCACTCAGCTAGCGTTAGGGTATCCTATTAAGGTGTTCGCGTCCGACCTTTCTTTGTCACATGTGATAATATCTCAGTTTGATTCATTAAAAGTTGGATCTGACCATGAACTCGTGTGTGTCATAATCGGAAAAAACACTGAAGCCTACGTCACCAATTGAGGATCTCTCTATTGATTTTCTGGCTCACCCTGGATTCCAAAGAATCATAGAGTGTACTACCTCTATGCTGATTATTGAACTTAACGACGACAACGTGGAAACAATCCGATGATCAATGGGAAATGCAACCACATTATTGAAGCTATCCAAGGTTTAATTTGTTACTAGTGTTTACCATTCTAATGTTTTTGAGAAGCATTTAAACCTCATAACATCCTCCGCTTGTGGACAAGAGCTGCCTACAGCTCGGACGAAATTCAGATGAGATCAGGTCTGATATGTTAAAAAAAATAGCACAATCTACACAATCGAAGGAAAACAGGATCAGATATGCAATGCATGATCAGTTATCCAATGTAATCTATCTATCTATCTATCTATCTATCTATCTATCTATCTATTAACTATCTATCTATCTATCTATCTATCTATCACACCAAAAAGAAACGCGAAATCTTCAACTTCCTATTTAATATGGGAAAATGGTTGTGAAAACGGTTGGCTGCTATGGTTCCATCGTAATGGGCTTTAATTGTTTCAAAATGACCCTAACCAGAGTTAAGGGCAGTGAACTCTTAATCCACAGCGCTCAAACGCACCGACGTTGAAGTCAGTATGGGATGGATACGCACGAAATGCACGTGCTGCTTATTCCGCAAAAACTGTCCGTGAAGATGTTGTCTTTAAAAGCCACGAAAGTGTTACCGTGAATCATTCACTCATCAACGTCAGTGACAATGCCACGCCTGTCACAGATCGATCGAGAGAGAGCTATTGGGCAACTTCAAGCTGGTGAGAGTGTTCAGAGAGTTGCAAACACCTTTAACGTCCACGTTTCCACCATCTACCGTCTGCAGGAAAGATTCCAGACAACCAACAGCACCAGAGACAGGCATCGTACCGGCAGACCACGTGTGACAACACAACGTCAGGACCGTCACATTCACGGGTCACATCTGCGTGGGGTGGTCCTAGTGTCATGGTTTTGGGTGGAATAGGGTTAATTCAGAGAACTGACCTTGTAATCTTTCAGAACGTTGGAGCTGGTAGGGACAATGGTGTCACTGCTCAGCGTTACATCGATCAGGTGTTGAGGCCCATACCACGTATTGAGGTGTACCCATACTTCAGTTGACTTCAGCATGGTCACGTGGTGTTGTGTTGATGGATACAGAAGATGTCTGATGTCCAGAGAACTGACTCTTTCTTATTGCTAATGAATTGTGTTGTATCCATCATTATTATGTTTATACCGGCTGGCACAAAATACATCATGTTTCCTATACCTTCTTGATTCGCGTTTCTTTTGGTGTTCAGTATATATATATATATATATATATATATATATATATGAACCAATTCCAAGATCTTAGTAATATCCTGAAAAGTGTTAATATACCACCTTCAAAATATATACTCAGCAAGAAAGGTTCCTGTGACACCAATATTTTGCAATGTTCTATGGGTGTTCTATGGGTGACATGTCGGGTGAGCGCGCAGGCCACGACAGGACGTTGACGTTGTTGGCTGCGAGGAAGTTAGTGACAATTCTGGCTGTATGGGCTCTAGTGTTGTCATGCTGATAAATGACACCAATTGGCTGCTGTTGGAGAAATGGTAGGACAACTGGACGAAGAATGTTATCAATGTAACGCTGAGATGTCAAGTTTCACTCAACGATGACCAGCGGTGTCCTCTCCTGCCCACAGATCCCTCCCCACACCATGACCCTCCCTCCACCATATGGCACGACCTCCTGCACGCAACACGCCGCCGTTCGTTCACCCCTTCGGCGGTAAACACGTTGTCTTCCATCAGCCCTAAACATACAGAATCGACTTTCGTCAGTGAAGACAACCCTCTGCCAGTCACGTCGTTGCCAACGTCGTACAGTCCGGGCCCATCTCAATCGCAGGCGACGATGTTGCGCTGTCAATAACTGTCCTCTGTATGGTCTAAAAGCCCTGATTCCATGAGCCCTGAGTCTCCTGGCCACTGTCTGTCGACTAACCCTGTGACCTAAGGCATTTGTCGCCGATGACGTCACTGTCAGGAAGCGATTTCGGAGGTGCAAGGTACGCAAGTACCGGTCATCATGGGGCGTGGTCACCCTGGGTCTGCCTGTTCTTGGCCTGTCAGCGGTCCGCCCTGTCTGTCGGTAACGTTGCATCAAGTTGGTAACGGCAACACGGGAGCAACCGAAGGTTTGTGCAATATGGGCGTGGCTGGCTCCCATCTGTACCATACACAAGTCTCGTTCACGTTGTTCGACTGTGAGTCGTGGTATTTCTTTTGTATTTTTTTATCACTGTGGATGTGTGACTTGCCGTTGCAATCGTTTTATACCCTTACCCGCACGTGCATTTGCAGTTGTCCGTGGTGCGCGTGTTTTTCACTTTTTCGGGTGTTATCTCGCAAACATATTTTCTGCATACACTATTGTTGTATTTAGGTTATGTGTTTTAGATAGACTTCATCGAAAAATATTTTATACCTTGTCTGAAATTTATATTTTTCAGTTGGTAAAGTTTCTTTTGGACGTCAGTTTAGTAGTAAGGAATGTCAGGCTGTCTAACAATAGTTTCAACGTAAATAAAATAAATCTTTCCATATCTTGTATTTGTTTAGTGACTTGTTTAATATCGTTATGGTTTGTTTCAATACCCGTGAGAGCGGATGACATGCGTTCATTTGTTTTAGCCAATAAGGACGACTTCTGATGAACGTGCGCTTGAAAAGCACG